ACAGAGGATACATTGATACAGATGATATATGGATTGCAAAGGATACATCAATACAGAGGATACATGGATACAGAGGATACATTGATACAGATGATATATGGATTGCAAAGGATACATGAATACAGATGATACATGGATACAGAGGATACATTGATACAGATGATACATGGATACAGAGGATACATGGATACCGAGGATACATGGATACAGAGGATACATTGATACAGATGATATATGGATTGCAAAGGATACATGAATACAGATGATACATGGATACAGAGGATACATAGATACAGATGATACATGGATACCGAGGATACATGAATACAGAGGATACATGGATACAGAGGATACATGGATAATAATAATAATAATAATAATAATAATAAAGGTAGATCTGAAAAAGGAACCCAACATGGAACCCACAGACCGTCGTCGGTGCGCAGCGCATTAACATGCAGCATACGGTCCTGATCCATCCGAGCAAACTCTCAATTTTTAACGCCCATGAGTTAGTGGTACAACCCGGTGGGTGGCAGCTGACAGTGTCAGCTAACTGCGTACCCAGCAGTCACCTATTGTGTGCTTTTACTAGTCATTGTGGTTAGGTATGTATGTTATAAACCGTGTAATTAAAGGTTGGCAACCTGATGGAACCAAGCCTGAAGCACCTGGTCCAACACAGCAGCACGGAGCTGCAGAGTATCCACCTAAACATTGTCTCCGCCAAGATAGGATCGAAGGACCCCCATTTGATTTTTTAAAATTCCACGGGCAGCGCCAGGCACAGCAGCTAGTATGATATATGCTAGATGTTTTGGTACTGACCTATGTAAGAAGTATTGAGATCTAGAACCTTCTCATCTTCTTGTATCTCTCCCTCCTCTACTGTGGACAATCCAAAGTTATGAGACAGAACCAAACCAACTTTCTGAAACATACAAATAATGCCCCCCCCCTCCACATCATGCTAAAAAATGCATTGAGGTTTTCAATTGATTTTGAGTATTTCAAATCGGAAAGGTGCGACTGGTGTCAAAAATTAATAATTTTTTGATTATTAGGCGTCATCAGTTTTCCCCAAAACTTAGAAAATTATATTTTACTCTCAACATTAATCATAAAATCGAATCGAATCGAATCGAAACGAAACGAAATGAAATGAATCTATAAGAAGACCCGGGAAAAATAAATGTCGAACTTTTTTCCTGAACTACCTTCCCATATTCCTGGAGTATAGTTTGTGTGCCGAGGGTATAAAGGTTCTCAGTGTCAAGGATCAATCCATCCATATCGAAGAGAACGCATTTTACGCTCTTAAACCTCGACATTTTCCTCTGGAAACAAGGCGATATATCATGATGACATTGTGGCTATAAATTTATTATTATTATCACTAATGTTTACAATTGGCATAAAATTACTTAAAGTTATGTGAACGGAAACGCATTTTCATCAATTTATTTGATTAACTGAAGATTTGTAACTGAAATCCTTAATAGTAAATTGACCAAAAGGTCGGATTTAATGATTAGAGAAATTAGCTGAACTTGTTATAGAAAGTTGATCTAATGTTTAGTTGAAACATCAACACCTCGTACAACAATTTCTCGCTATTTATTTTTACAGGGGACGTAAGTTTCAAACCGTGATAGGCAGGGAGTAAGGAATAGAATCCCTATATAACTGACGCGGTTCGCCCTAAAATATGATTATACATGCTTTACAGAATAGGTTAATGTATACGCGGTAATTGTACATCAGACAAATATTTCTTAAACAAATGGAGTACCGTCTGCAAAGCATGAATAATCATATGATAGGGCGAACCGCGTCAGTTATATCTCCCTTCTATTCCTTACTCCTGGTAATAGGACACAGACCTGTCACTGAGTGTCAGGATTAGGACATAAGCACGGTTTGGAATTTGCATCCCCTGTAATGGGTACAATGCATAAATGCTCGATAAACATTACAATGTTCTCAGTGCTGCGTTGTAGTTTTCTACTGCTTGGTGTAGGTAACCTTGGAGAAACAGAACCATGTTTTAATAAATTTTTTTTTAAATCTTGAAAAATTCAAACAAACGACGATTTGAGAGCTTCAAGTTTTAGGTTTTTTTTTCTCGCTAAATTTGGGAAAATAAATGATTTTTAGGGGAAAATACATGAAAATCTGAGTAAAAACAATAAAAAAAATATGATCATATTTCCCCAAATATCTTCTGATACTCCCAGCGGTTAAATAAGGTTGTGTTTGTCCCTGTAGATGTTGAGTAAGTGGAGTATTCTCTGTTGCCATGAAAACTGTCTGTTCTAATTCTCCGGTATCCAGTAGACGCAGTTTACGCTGGATTTTCGTAACATGGGGAGACTTAGTGAACTCTATACGACCTAAAAATAATAAAATAATGATTATAATATTATGTAAATTTTATTAAACTTACTTAAGGCAATAGTTTGTTTTTTATTCTAAAGGTTCCAAGCGTTTAAAGTTTTATATTTTACTCAAGTTTCATTAAAAGCCTTTCGCACATTTTTTTCCAGTTATATTATTGCTAACTTTTAAATAATGGTTTCAAACCACCATATTTTCTTCGTATTTAATTCAAACTAAAAAAACTCGCGGAAATTTCCCCCCCAAAAAATTAATTAGATTTCCACCATTTATATAGCCTACTCTGGGCCGGTCATACAAGGTCAAACACACAAATTTAGGCCTGCTCGGTTTAGCCATTTTGGTGTTTTATTTTAACCTAACATGAAGATTTCTTAGAACAAGGGTCAATCTTTTCTTGC